TCCGTACAGAAGGAATGACAAAATGATTCTATTTGTCTTCATTATTTTTAAAAGGAAACAAGATCTTGGATCATTTCTTTAAACATCTTAATGTTGTTTGACAAATTGGTTTTTATCCAAAACAGTCTGGTAACTACACTGCAACAGTTGATGGCATTTTGATGAGGCATTTATTGTCCCCCCACCCTTGTGGCTTGTTCCACAGTATGTGGATTTTTAGCTCAGCGCAGGGCACACAAATCAGATTAAGCCCGGTGAAGCTGAATGGAGCCTAACTCACTAAGACACTCAACTTCACTCATTTTGAACCAACTCATGCAGTTTGATAGAGATGTTTGGGAATTGTATACAAAAATTAGTCTATCTTTGCAGCCTTTTAGTGGATCACAATCTGTATGAATCTACTGGACTCTGTTCACTTAGTGTGTCCATGACCTTCCTGTACAATGCTCATTTTTACTTACTCTTCTTCTTTTTCCTCTGATGTTTCCATTTGTGTGTGCCACAGCAACTGAGCTACATCTATTTCCCTTTTTCAACATCTCCTTCTCCTCCTTAAATTCCTCCCATGTTCCTTCTGTGTGATGTCTTTCATAATCTCTTGCTCCCATCTCGGTTTAGTCTTCCTTTTGGTGTTTTTCTTATACTTTTATGCCCAAAATCTTCTTTGGGATTCCATTTTCCTCCATGGAATACTCCACTTTTGTTCAATGCATATTTTTTTCTCTTTATTTCAGGGACCAGCATAAGTACAAATGATGTACTTTTCCTCTGAGAAAATTCTGTCTGGGAGATGTTCATTTGTTTCAAGTAGAATTCAGCAAGTTCAATTTTGAGTGTATATTGTTAGTAGCAGATTGTGCCAAATTGTTTATTCATGATCACATGTTTTTAAGGCAGTATTATACATAAAAAGAAAGTGTAAATTACATGTAATAGTAATAAGAAAAAGATAGCATATTTATTTATTTATGATAAAGTTCCAAATTATCTATTATAGTTGGCATTGTCACATTTGTCACTCAGACGCAAAAGTTACAATTTTTTTCAAAGCTGTACATTTCACTACAGATTCAAGTAACTTGCAAGTTATGATAAATAATATTTTCACATAGTTCAAGATGTTCTGACATGCTTGAATGTGGAATGGAGTGTACCAGAAGTCTAAGCAATGAAGAATTCATATTGGCATGGTTCATTTTAGAGTAAGAAATACAAATAGGACCTTGAATGTGTGTTCATAACATTTCTCTATACAAATTTTATCTGTGAAGTTAAGAGTTTGCCACAGTGGTTTTTTATAAATTCAAGGTAATTTTCCCAGTTCACACATTCCTTTTTAACTTAATTCTCCATTATATAATTCTCATGTATTTTGATATAGTCTCTCTGTACTGTTAACCAGGATGTATTAAATAGATTGTTATACTGCTTTGGTTGTTGTACCTTAAAAATTAGTTTAATTTGGTTCTATAAGTATGCTTGTGTAAGACATGGAGGAATTTGGAACAACAGACTCATGTCACAGTTCCCTGCAGAAGTCAAGTGTAAATTATATATATATATATATACAGATCTTCACATAAATAGTATAGCACAAGAAAAAATGGGGAACTAAGGCCAATAACAGTTCCGTTATTATGTAACATTGAAATGACATTTTGATTTGTAAGTTTGTATGTTCTGCCAATGCGCGTAATTCTGTCATTTGCCGATAGCCAGCATTAGTTGCATACATGGCAACTTCAGGTGATGAGACGGCTTTCTGTGTGTGTTTTTTTTTATTGCTAGTGGCGTGGGGCTAAGTCCCTTGTACTGCGGCCTCTTCTGTCCTGTTGTACCGGCCCCAGATGATAGGTGAGGGTGATTGTGGAGCAATTGGTGGAATGAATATTGGCAGGGGAAACCGAAGTACTTGGAGAAAACCTGCCCCAGCGCCACTTTGTCCACCACAAATCCCACTTGACCAGACCTGGGATCGAACCCAGGAAGCCAGTGACTAACCGCAGTATTCATGTATTTATTCACCCTAGTTGAGACCATATCCTTAAATAAAACTGCATAAATGATATCTTGAGAGAAATAATGGTATACACAGAAGGGACACAAACGCAAAACATTAGTTTTCTTGAAAGAAGCCTTACCAATCAGATGTTATTGCTGTATGATATTCAGCAATCGGCAATGGCCTACCAAGTACCAATCAGTTTCAATTGCAAGGTAATATAGTCAAGGTCAGATGTATATGAGAAAATATGTGCAATGCAAGTGCACTAATGGATTCCTTTTTGGGGGGCCTCATATTTGTTATATTCCCAAAGTTTGTGCATTGGCAGAGCCCTGAATGCTTTAATCTGTGCATAGAAAATATGTGCTTGGCCTAATTAAAATAATAAATAGACTGAAGTACAATGTCTTTGTTTAATATAATATACTCTCAAAGAGACATAACAGTTTTGGTGTGTACATGAAATTAAGTAGAATGCCCAAGAATATAAAAGTGAAGGGATATGTATGTACAGAAATGGTGGATGAACTGTTATGTCAGGCTACAGGCTGGGCAGATTGAATTTAAATTTTGGTAGGAGTTTTAGAATTTTCCTTTACCATCATATTCAGGAAGGCTCTAAGGTCCACCAAGCAGGGACTAGGTTGGGAATATTGATTTTCTCAAAGGGAGAAGATAGATGAAAAGTGTTGCAGACTCCTTGATTCCACCTTGTGCCAGCCAAATCCCTTCATGATGTATTGGTAAGTGCAGTCATGAGGACTAAACTTTGTCAAAAATGTCTTTGAGGATATGTCATACATTGAGTAAATAACCTTATAGAAGGAAAATGGTTTGTGTTCAATGGTTGTTTTTGTTACCATTATATACTGAAAATACATTATAGCATTTTTCTAGTGGAGTGGCAGTTAATGACCACTTGGCATCGTAGCTCAGAAATGTTTCAGAGTGACTGTGAAGATAGGCATCAGGGATGTCATCATGTGGTGTGGTAGGTATTTACAAATGCTTCTGTGGAAGCTGCTGCTTTGCCCTTCATGGTATTATAGTAAATGCTACAGGACTTNAACCGATGTCCAGTGATTGAGGCTAGCTCTTTCTAACGGACCCAACAGAATAGGTGTTTTCCTTCACCTGAGGACGGAAACAGATCCAGTTTCCGAAACGTCGTGTTTTTATTAGTTATCTTAAAAACCAGGACGATGGATAAAGTCCGAAAACCCAATATATCAGTGTGTTATACACCATCGTCAGAATCCTATAGTAACTACATTAATAATACTGATATGTGCTTTTTCAGAGGTTTAAAAATTTAAACATTTTAAAAGTGAGACATCACACGGGATGAAAGATGGGATGGATGAAATTATTGGGGATCATCAGTGTGGTATTTGACGTAACAGATCAACTACAGATCAGATTTTTTGCATTCTTCAGATATTGGAGAAAAAATGGTGGTACAGTGAGACAGTACATCAGCTATTTGTAGACTTCAAGAAAGCTTATGAATCAGTTAAGAGGGAAGTATTGTACAATGTTATGATACAGTTTGGGATACCCATGAAACTAGTTAAACTGATTAAAATGTGTTTAAACGAAACTTATATTAAAGTCCATATAGGCAAACATTTTTCCAATCAATTTCCTATCCAGAATGGTCTTAAGGCAGGGAGATATTTTATCGCCACTCCCTTTCAACTTTGCTTTAGAATATGTCAGGGAGGTCCAGGGAAACCAGGTGGGACTGAAATTAAACAGGACACATCAGCTGTTGGTCTATGCCGATGATGTGAATCTAATGGGTGATAATATAGATACCATAAAAACACAAACTTTAATTGATGCAAGTAAGGAAGTTGGTCCAGAAGTAAACACAGAGAATACTATGTATATGTTGCTGTCTCATCACCTAAATGCAGGGCAAAATCATGATATAAAGACAGGAAACAGATGTGTTGAAAATGTGGCACAGTTCAGATATTTGGGAACGACTATAACAAATCAAAACCTGATTCAGGAGGAAATTAAGAGGAGATTGAACTCGGGTAATGCTTGCTACCATTCAGTCCAGAACCTTTTGTCTTCTCGTCTGCTGTCCAAAAACATAAAAATTTGAATATACAAAACTATAATTTTGCCTGTGGTTCTGTATGGGTGTGAAACTTGGTCTCTGACATTAAGGGAGGAACATAGATTGAGGGTGTTTGAGAACAGGGTGTTGAGGAGAATATTTTGACCGAAGAGGGATGAAGTGACCAGAGGTTGGAGAAGACTGCATAATGAGGATTTTCATAACTTGTACTCTTCTCCAAGTATAATCAGAATGATCAAGTCAAGGAGGATGAGGTGGGAAGGGCATGTAGCACGAATTGGGGAGATGAATGCATATATGCTGTTGGGGGGAAAGCCAGAAGGAAAAAGACCACCGGGAAGACCAGGGCATAGGTGGGTGAACAATATTAAAATGGATCTTAGAGAGATAGAATGGAGTAGTATGAATTGGATTGATCTGGCTCAGGATAGGGACCGGTGGAGGGCTATTGTGAACACGGTAATGAACGTTTGTGTTCCATAAAATGCTGGGAAGTTCTTGAGTGGCTGCACGATTGGTGGCTTCTCAAGAAGGGCTCAGTTCCATAAGTATGAATGAAGGAATGAATGAATGTACAAGGGTTGGGCCCTCTTGGCCCTTGCATCGCGACCACAGTGATCTGTTGTGCTTTGTACCATAAGTATGGAAGACATCACATGGGAAGTAATGGTTCATCAAAATTGAGAGTCGTCATGTGTGTTTTGCGACAAATTCCTGCACAACATTTGTTTAAAATTTACCTCCGGAAGAAATCGATTTATAATAAAAATATTGATATAGTTAGTAATTTGGGCATGACAAATAGTGACATCTTGTGGCCATTCGAATTTTCAAGTTTCCTGTGTAAACGTTAAGTTTTGCATGTTCAATGTGTTCAATGTGCTGCCATCTACGAAACAATTCGCGTCATGTTTGAGCACGTGTGGGTTTGAGAGTTGGAAATTCGCAAGGAGTTTTTGAAGGTTATAGTTTAGCAATGAATATATTTCGAATTCTTGGGGATTTATGCCATCTCTCGGCTATCGTGATTCTGTTATTGAATATATGGAAGAGACAGTCATGTGCAGGTAATATTTCGATGTTTATGCAGCACATTAGCTAATTTATAACGGTGCCTTATGACTGTTGTTTTTTTTTGTCCCCCCTGTTGTGTGCCTTACATCACACCTCGTATTATCTGATGAGGGTGTTTAGTAGCTGAATAAAAATGTGATTAAAATAAAGATACCTTTTTTGTGTGTTGTGTGTGTGTGATACGCCATTGCAATTTAAAATTTCTGTGGAGATTTTAAAATTAATGGCTAATGACACTGAACTGTTTTTTGAGTATTTCACAAAATTACACAGTTGATTTTTGTAGACCCAGTTGAATGTGATATGAGGTTATGTTTATCATGTGTGTCTCCTGATTGTGTGTGTCAAACATGTTCACAGGTATATCAGGAAAGTCGCAAATACTGTTTGCAGTAGTTTATACAGCACGCTACCTGGATCTCTTCACATCATTTGTCTCAGAATACAATACAGTTATGAAAGTCATATTCATTGGTGTGTCATATGCTACCGTTTCTTCGATTTACTTCAAATTCAAGACAACGTACGATCAGAATCATGACACATTTTGGTAAGGAAGAATGAGATTATATTGCAAAAGTTATTGTGAATTTTCTGTTAACCCTTTAAAGTATCTTATTGTTCAACAACTATTTTGCTGAGCAGTGTTCATTGAGGGGGTTTTGTAATGGAGCTGTAATGTGTTTATTGTATTTTAAGAACTGAATTTTTAAATATTGTTGAAATGACATGCAGAAATAAAAGCAATTGTCTTCTAT